CTAGAAGAGCAAATGATCAGGTGACATTTATTGTTACTTTCTATAAATGAACACAATCTCTGGTATGCTAAAGTGATAGGTATTATAGAAATATTCAGATAGGGAGACCTACAGTCTTGATTACAAGTGAGACTTACTATCACAATCCAAATGTATTGCTTAAAAAAAAAAAAAGGAGGGAGCCAACTAGAAACTGAACCAAATATAAGCCCTTGAAGGGCAAATGTAAATTGGATAAGCTTTGCTATTACAAGAGCAAGAAGAAAAATTCAGATGCAAGAATGAGAAGCACATTGCATCCACTCTAAGTTGCTGTTAGAAAAAGAATGATATGAAAATACTTAATACAGACTGTAAAGCAGTGGTTCTCAACCTTCTGACCCTTTAAAACAGTTCCTCATGTTGTGACCCCCAGCCATAAAATTATTTTTGTTGCTACTTCATAACTGTAATGTTGCTGTTATGAATCGTAATGTAAATATCTGATATGCAGGATGGTCTTAGGCGACCGCTGTGAAAGGGTCGTTCGACCCACAGGTTGAGAACCGCTGTTGTTGTAAAGAGATTTGTTCAAAGAGGATTTCCTAGAGTAGGTAGTATTTCAGTTATTTTTTTTAAATGTGAAGAGGTTAGCTAGATAAGAAAAAGGTGTAGGGGTCCCAAATTGCAGAGGGTGCAGGCGGGCTGAGGGACCCCCCACCCCCGTGCACAAATTTCGTGCACCGGGCCTCTAGTGTATAAAATAAGTTGCAAAACTGCCATTCTTGTGGTGATCAATTTGTCAGTTATAAAAATGTGTAAAAGTATACTGCATACCTGAAAGTCATATAATAGTGCATGTCAATGTGAATAAAAAGTAAAATGAAATGTCCTTTCTAATCCGTAGAGATTTTCGTACCTGACATCATGTGTTCTTTGTGCAGATAGATCCTCTCCTCTCCCTCCTCTCACCTTCCAGAAATCAATTACCGTATGATCCCACTTACATGTGGAATATAAAAAAACCAAAATAAATGAAGAAACCCCCCCAGAAACAGACTCATAGATATGAAGAACAAGCTGGTGGTTGCCAATAGGAAGGGTTCAGGGGATGGAAATAAAAAAATGGTACATCCACTAAAAAAAGTTACAACAAAGTGAGTACTGTATATATCTTATTCAATAAACATTCATTTAAAAGACTGAGTTATGAAGTATGAGTCCAAATATATTTTAAAAATTTTATAAACATAAAAATGGGTTAGATACAGCAGAATATTAATAAAAGGATTCTGGGTGGTAGGACCATTGGTGATTTTTCTGTATTTTTTTATAATTAGAAAACAAGTTATGCAAAGATTTTTCGAGAGACTAGATGTGAGCAAAACATAAATGTTTAGTGAAATGTTAGTAACAAGCTCTTCAGGAACACAGGAAAAAACTGACATCAGATTGTTTGAAAACCTCAGACACATTGACATGTGTCTAAATCTATGAGAACTTAGGAGATGTGGTCAGAGCTGACTTAGTTATGGAAAACAAAGAAAAATCTATCAACTTGTCTATTTCCCTTAGAGGAGGATCTTATTCAGGAAAAAGAAAAGAGGGACCCGTGTAACAATCACATCTACCCTAACACAACCCATCCCTCGGCCCCAAAGGAGAAGTTAAAAGACAAACCCCGAATTTCCGAGTAATTGCAGGTTACATGGCTGCTGAAACCTGCTTGGAAGTGGGGGGTCTTTATAGTAAAGGATAATGTGATTTAAACATTTAAAATGCAAAGAAGGCTCCTCGCCATGGACTTAGTATCTATTGGGGCAAGTCCACCTTAGAAAAGGGATTCAATTTGAGGATGACAGACGACATAGAAGCCACTGGCCTCACTTACCTCTGGAAGAGAGGACTGGGTACTGCGTGTCTGTTTGATGGCCTCCTCGTAGCGGGGAGGGTCTTTCGTCTTGGGGACTGGGCTCCCAAACAGAGAGTGCTGGACGACAAACTGCTGGGGTGGCGGGGGTGAGCTCGGCTGTGGCACACAGAGGAGCATATGTCAGCTCTGGGCAGTAAGCTTCCTCATGCCCTGGCTGTTCCTCAAGCATGGGCCTCCTAGGCCGGTGAGGCTTCTGACCGAAGACCTACCTGTGAGGCTGTCTTCACTGTGATATTTTCAGCTATTTCCCCTGTGAATACTGATCTTCAGTCATTCCCAGCCTAAAGCTCTGGGCTTTGGGACGGTCTGTACCCAGAAAGCGTGTCACTGGAGCAGTGGCCGCAGGCTTACCTTGCTGGGAGGGCTCGGTCCGTTTTGCAGGGATGGAAGGGGCGCACTTCTGGACTGGAGAACGCTGCTGGACGTCTTGTTAACAAAGGGCTGCTGGACCGCTGGAGCGGGTGGTCTCTGATATGAAAGAACTGTATTGGATGCCGAGCTTGTGAAAACCTGAAATGAATAAGTATATTCCCATCAGTCTGCCCTTCCTACTAAAGAAAACCATGTTTTAAAAACGGGTTGGTTAACTTTTTCTGCAAAGGGCCACGGGTTATACAGTTGAGGGTTTGTGGGCTGTGCTGTCTCCGTGGTGACCGCTCCTCTCTGCTGTTGTAGCACAGAAGTGGCCTGGGCAACATGCAAATGAATGTGTGGGCGGCACCAGTACAATTTCATCTACAAAAACAGGCAGGGCTGGATTTGGCCCATAGGCATGGTTTGCCACCCCACTGAGCATCAGTGGTCCCTTTGCTCGTCTTTGATGGCAGCGTGACAGTATTTTTTGGGAAAGCAGCATTTCCTCAGCATAATTTCCCTAGTAAATGACAGCTGAATTTCTTAACTCCTCACTAGGGTGATCGCATCTATTCTCCTGGCTTTACTGTTCACGATGAAGCTAATGATCCCAAGCCCACCTCTCTTCCAACCTTGCTCCCAAGTGCCAAAGTCACATTTACAAACATAAATTTGGGACATCTCAAATGTAATATATTCCAAACTAAACTTTTCCCTTCTTCCCTCCATCCCTAGCCTCTGAGAGAAA